GGCTTGCCCCGCGCACATGCGGCGCACGTCCAGCTGCTCCTTCCCGGCGGGAGGGAGACTAGGCGCGGGGGACGCGCGCCGCATGTGCCCGGGGCAGCGGAGGGCACGTCGCGCCGGGAAGGAGCCACAGCCGCGAGCGGGAGGGAGAGGCGCGGGGCTCCCCAGCAGCAGCGGGGATTCGGCCCCTGCCGCCCACCCGGCTCCTGCCCGCTCCGCACTGCCCCCCGCCCGGACCCACCGCGCCCCGCATATGCCCGTGGCGGGCCAGGGGGCGGGAGGCTCTGCGGGGAGGGCAGCGCGTGGGGCCTGCTAATGCCCCAGGCCCCTTTAAAACTTTTTTTTTGCTCCGCCCCCCCTTTTTTTTGCTCCGCCCCCATCCCGATATTTTATACTACTAATCTGGTCACCCTATACCATCCTCCTCTACCTGCTCCAGCTTAACCAGTCCCTAATTTCTTCCCCTGTCATGAATTTCAACACCCAGAGAGTCCTTTGAAGGGAGGGGCAGTGCTGTGGAAGCAACTACCCTTCTTATTCTGCACAGGAGGGAGTAGAAATCCACACGTGACCTTGGAGGCATGATCTATCCCTCTGTAATTACATGTTACTTAGCATATGGGGCCTGTTTTTGCCATTACTCCAAACTGGGAACTCCCATTGACCTCAGTGGAACTTTTGTGTGCAGAACAATAGGACTGGGATCCAATATGCTTCTGACTGTACTAGTGTACATCTAGAGTAACCTCAAGGATCTCTGTGAAGTAACTCCAGATCTATGAGAGTAATGGAAGGTAGAATTTGGCCACGATGCCCTCACTGGTACATGGTACTTCAATAATAAAATGGCCAACAGTTATCATGTAAAGAATAATTGAGTGACATTTGTGCCCTGGGAAATGAAGCACTCCAGTTACACTGTGAACCTGGTTCATCATTTTTCTTTTTTACAGGTTGAAATACTTTGTGAGCACCCACGTTTTAGAGTATTTGTGGATGGACATCAGCTTTTTGATTTTTACCATCGTATTGAAACACTGTCAGCAATTGACACAATAAAGATAAATGGAGATCTTCGTCTTACTAAACTCGGCTGACCTAGTGAAAACTGTAGATTCCAAACTGGCTCAGGTGCCATCTTCTATCTGGAAGATCAGTGACAGCTGCATTTGGACACAACTATCATAGGCAAGCTTCACTGTTTCTTTCCTGTGTGCAGTAAAGAATATGTTGATAAATTGAACTGATATTTATCCTACTGAAGAAAGCTGTTGATTTATAGACACTGAGCCATTTTTCTTCAAACAGACTAGCCCCTCCATGCAGGATAATCAAATTAGAATGGATTCAGAAAGATTTACAGTCTTGTCATAAGTTGCAGCAGCTATTAACCTTCTCAGAGAGAGGCAATTTCTGAAACAAGTGCTAAAGCCAGCTATTGATCAGCGATTAAACAAAAACATTTATTTGCCAATAGTTTCTGCACTGAAGTGGATTAGTGTAGCACAGCACAGGGCCAAATGCTGACATCCTTATCCAGGGCCTGATCCTGTCTCCATTTTAATCAATGGCAAAACTCCCATTGACTTCAGTGGGTCATGACTCATGATCAAAAACTTTCAGTCCTTCAGTTGAGCACAATTCTCATTGATTTCTATGAGTTTTGCTGAAGAAAGGGGAGAGCCTCAGCTGATGTTAATCAGCATAGTTCCATTAACTTCAGTGGAATTAGGCTGATTTATGCCAGCGGAAGATTTGGCCCACGAACTGTGCAAAAACTGAGTAAGGGCTTCAGGATTTGGCTTGTATATTTTAGTCAGGGTATTTGTCTAGAATGTAGATTGTTACAAGTTTTTGCACAATGGAACATTAATACAGTTTTTGACGCTTACCTGTAGTTTATTTATTTATACTCATCTCTGTATGTATTCTTAGTAAAACTGAACAATTTTACTGACAGTTAAGACCAACAAAGTATAAGTATTTTGAATGTACAAATGTCTTAGATTCTTTGGGTAAACTTGACATATCATTATTGAAGCACTACAGGTGTCTTGCTGAATGATCGGTTACGTTCTAGACCCAGAAAGGTAGGGGGTCTGCTCGTGTATTCACTATAGACTGTTTTTCAGGACTTTATAACTTTGCTGTAAATGTTAAGTCTGAGCTAAAGCGATTTAAAAAAAAATCTTATATAGAAGGTTTGTAGGTTTAGTTGTGCTTTTTGAAACTTAGCCTGCAGAATTTAATTCTGTTCTCATCAGTTCATTATGGGCACTAGCCTTTTGGGGGTAAGTGGGAAATTCTCTGCTCGCATAGAAGGGCAGAATTTGGTCTTTGGTATTAAAATTTAAAATAGTGTGTGGACAGCCAAGTTATTAGCACTTGAAAATCAGCCACTGCACATGAATAACTTTCCCAAAGCTTTTTAAATAATAGGTATAGCTCTCTAAACACTGTAACTGCTCTACACTATGAATGAACACAGTAACTTTTCATAGTTTCTTTAGGACTTCATACACTCTTCCTTGGATGTACACAATGGACTACAACAAGTCTTTTTGAGATATTCTAGTCCGTGAAATAAACATTTATTTAGACAATTTATAAAAATGTATTATAGGGACTTTTTAAGACCTGTATTTTGAAGCCTTTTTTTTTGTAGCACAAAAAAAAAAGGAAAGAACAATCTCTGAACTATGTTAAATGTATGAAAAAGATCTGGTTTAAGCCAACCAAAACTGAAACATCCAGAGTTAAGGATAGAACACCAATTGTCAGTCAGTTCATTTTGCCCTCACTTTGAGCTAATCTGGCCCTGAATCAGGAAGCCTTAGACAGTGAGCTAAAATTCCAACTATGGCCTTGATCCAAAGCTTATTAAAATCAGTGGGAGTCCTTCTGTTGACTTCAGTGGCCTTTGGATGAGGCTCCAGATGAGCTAGAAACATAGAGGCCTGATTCGTATCTCACTTACTTTTAATTTACATTAGTGTAACTCGATTAAAGTCTGTGGAGTTTTGCTGATGCAAGTGAGATCAGAATTGGGCCCCTAGCCATACAGTGCAAATTAAAGATGGAGTTTTAGCCTTATCTTTGAATGTCTGTGATTTCTCCCCTCCCCGTCCCCCCCATTTAAACCAGAGCCTAAATGTTATTTTCAGGTGATTTTTCTGGTGTGTGACTTTATATGTAAATTGGACTCTGTTTGTACTGCAGGTTGATTCTTGATATGAAATGTTCCTGTCTTGCTTTGTTTTTATCAATTTTACATGATACATAAGTAATGAAATGACTGTGTCATTTTCAAATGTGTTAAGAATGCTGGCCGTGTTTCAATACAAAAATATATTCTTAAAAATAAAATCTTAGGAAAAGAAGCTTTTACATGAAACCTCTGGGTTATTCTCCAGCTTTGAAACAGTTTACAGTTGCCAGGCAGATGCAGGTAGAAGATGAATTATGTTTAGGAAGATACATTAGTAGCCAACTGGTCCAGCATTTTCTCAATCTTGAACATTTAGGGGCAGGCTCTTGGGTGTGGTGCTACTTCTTTGTGCCATATCACCAGCAGAATCCAGTCATAATGCTCATGTAACTGGCCCAAGAAGGCTATCGCCAAAGAAAGAATAATCCCTCAGAGCACAGAGCCAGTGTAGGTGCTCTTATGCCACTTCCTGTCCCCCCTGTTTGTATAGCTGGGGCAAGAGGCTTGGCTGGGCTATCACTCTGCTAAGCTGATCTCTGACTGCATTTTCTGCCCCTTGGGACTGTTTGCCGCTGGTATAAGTTTTATAGCAGTCCCCAGATTGCTGCAACCCAGCACTAGCCCTGTACAGACCAGCAGCAGGACCAGAGAGTGCAAAGGTGAACTTTAAGCACATGTCCCTGACAGGTGCTCTGTGTGGCCCATCAGCGACCCCATGATGTGGCCCATCCAATTCTCCCACCCTTATATGGCTCTTAATGCTATACCAGTCCTTATAAGCTACTGTTTTATGGCTCTCCACTGCATTCAAGTCCCTCTTTACAACACATAATACTTGTCTGTCCCACGAAAAGGCTTATAGGGCCTGATTCCAGTCTTGCCTAGTATAATTCCATTGACTTCAATGGCTAGCCTCCTGATTTACCCTGGTATGAATTTAGAAGCAGGCCCAGAGAAAGGGAAGATCATAAACACATTTATAGTATGTTTGGACTTAGCTTAACATAAAGATCTGCAGCCTTGGATGCGGAGGAAACCTGCAGAAAGTCCTGGTTACAGCTTCCATGCCCATTCGTCTCTTCAGTAGATTCTTGGAAGCCTTTTCATTTTTTGCCATTGAGCAGTTCCAGGCTATAAAGAATCAAGATGGCATGTACGTAAGGGCCAGCTTCTGATTTCCTGGACACTGGCTTTATACCAGCTAACTCCGTTGAGGAGCAACTCTTAACTAATTGATGTGTGGTATAAGTCCGACAAGACTCAAGCCCTCCATGTTTCTATTCAGTAAGCTTTAGAACCCAACCCATCACCAGGCCCTTATGTGATTGGATAGGAAAATGCAGAGTATTAATTAGAGATGGGATTATGCTGCAAAGCTTAGGTCTGGATTCAAGTTTCCCTGGAATTTGGGGAGTATTCAGCTCTGGGAGTTTTGTTTAACCCTACCTTTAGGATTAGTCCATTGGTGTGCTGGATGATCTAGCATGCAGCCTCTGTGGGTCTGACTCTCAAAAAGACTCAGCACCTCCCAATGGGAAGTTTTCCAAAGAGTTCCACTGCCAGCAGCTTGTATTGTTCTCAATAGGAGCTCTTGGGTGCTGAGCTGACCCACTTGGGGTGAGCAGGTTAATAATCTACTAGAGAAACATTTTGCTGTAAGGTATTTTGTAAATTTCCCCCTAGTGCCATCAGTTGTTATGATGAGAGGAACCTAATGTTGAATGAATAAAGCCCCATGTGATTAAATACCAATAGGAGTAGATGCTATCCTCTTAACTAGTATAGCTTTAAAATCCACACTGTTATGTTTGGAATTGGCAGTGATAAAACACAACCTGATTTCATTACTGTTTTTTAAATCCAAGAATGTTGCCTACTCAGAAACAGCCTTGAAATACTTCAGCATTATGTAGAGATAGTGTTTCTCTGAAAATACTTCACGGAAATGCTTTTTCTTGGCTAAGCTGCGTAAAATGTTACAGTATGTCTTCTTGTGTTTCTATGTCACAGTTAAAGATATTTGCACTAAACTAGAAGAACATTTTGTACTAAATAGTCTCACGTTGTGTAGGTGAACCTCCAAATTATGTGGGAGATGTTGAATTGCCTCTCGTTTCCATGACCCGCTTGTAAAAAATATGCAGTGTTACTAAACCAATTCAGTGTAAAGTCTGCTTGAAGCAAACATCTTACTTGAGGGCTGTTTTGAACATACGGCGTGTGACATGAGCGAGCGCCTGATTCACCATTCCGCTATGCAAGTTTGAGGCCTTTGTAACGCCACTGAGATCAGCGAAGCTGGTGCAACCGAATGGAGAGGCAGGCCCAGAGATTTTGGTGATTACCCTTCATATGTAGGAGCGGGGTTGAGATTTCATCTTCCATTATTTAAAATTGTGCGCAAGGAGGAAATGAGAACCATGGAGCCATGACACTGGCTTTCTAATGGCACAGTGGTAGCACGCTGTGTTGAAATGCTAATGGAGTGTGAGCTCAAAGGCAGAGTTCAAGCTCTGTCCCACAGCCACCAAAGCATACAAGAGTGAGTGAAGGTATGTTTGCCACATGCTGTAAGTCCTACATCTCCCCCATGCCCAAATGTCCCTGAGACTAGTTTTGGAATTTAAGTTTGGAAGACCTGACCTTACTTAAATTCCTAGTTTCCTTGTTTGAAACGGGGACTGAGAGTAAATAAGAAGATAACTTAGGGGGAAAAAACATGGTAGCTATTCTATTGCAGTAGTCTGTAATGCTGACAATCATATGGTACATCTGACATGGGCCTGTAGCTGCTCCCTGCATGGGCCTTCCATTAAAATCCATGGAAACGCCACATGCCAAATGGATCCAGGAGCAGACCCATAGTGCACCGTACCTTGATCACTTAGGTCAGTGACACTGACTTTTCTATATAGAGAACTGCAGCACCATGGGGCCTGAGTCTGCTCTCACCTATGTGGAAATCAAGAGGAACTTTCCTGAAATCAATGGTATTTCACCAGTGTAAGTGACATCAGAATCAGGCTGATGGTGACTACAGGCCAAATTCTGACCTTGGATACCTGTGCTCAGCTCCTTAAAATATATGAACTAGATCCTCGGCTGGTATATGTAAACATGACTTCAATGGAGCTTCACCAATTACACCAGCTGAGGATTTGACCCTATAGGTCAATTTGCATACACACGTCCCAAGGCAGAATCTAGGTATCCCCTCCCCTGCCGCTTTTTGAAGAGTGCAAACAAATATTTCAAACTCTAATTTCTTAAGCTAAACTGAACTCTAGCAATGGATTCCCTGCTTTTTGCAGAAAAAGTAAAGATTATTCCTTGGTGAGAGGTGCATATTTTTCTGTTTGGTTAAACTGTTTTTCAGGGATGTGTTTGAAAATTGAGCTGTGTAGCTTGTGTAATGTGTTAAAGGAAAAAGTCCAGATTCTGATCTCAGCTACACAATTAATTAGAAAAGTTGTATCTGCGTTCATAACTGGGGCCAACCCAAATGGAAAAAAAAAATTAGCTGTAGACACTTTGTCTTGCTTTGATACACCCTCTCAGCTCCTCCCAGCAACCAGTGTGATTTGTATGAAAAATACAATTAGTATAACTAGGGATTGCCTGCTGTATGATAATCAGAACTGTGTGCAACATCAAAATAAAGACGCCCACGTTACTACACATCTTCCCTAGTTTCTGTTGCTAGACCTATTGGATCTGTCTGTTAGCACAGAGCTGTATCACCCTCCTTTTGAAGTCAATGACAAAATTCTCTTTGACTTCAGTGGGAGTAGGTCTATAGGAATGAGGATATTTCTATCTTCTACACCACAGTCCTATTATTCTGACCTGAAACGTACAAAGTTTGAGCATCAGTTTATAAGTATATTTTATTCTTCTAAATTTACTTTGAAATATGAGTAGGGGAATATTTCTTGCCTGCAGTATGTATTCGAACAGAACCATTAGAAAGCACAGCCTTTCCGTTCTGCAGTAATACTGGTTTGGAGGTGAGCGCAGTGGAAAGCTTCACGTAAGTTACATTCTGATTTTAAAAAGAGGTTTGCATGAGATGATCTGGCAATAATAATATGTATTGTTCACCACAAATCTATTTTTATGTGTTGTGCCAATTTGATAATGAACTTTTAATAAGAATAAAACATGAAACTGTTAATTAGTGGTGTCATTTACGTGGATGGTTTATTCTAAGTACACAGCCTCTTTATTTCTTTCAAATGTCATCCTCTAAACATTTTCTAGATTCTTCCCCTAATAAAACAGCAGTGTGGGTTTTTGAAATGAGACTTGCTGCAGATGCAGCTTTGATAGCTGCTTGGGTGAAAAGACTTTTCGGTTCAAATGCACCATCCTGGACAGTCAGGTAACATTCTTAAGGGTGAATCCCATTTGCCTTACTCATGCAAAATTCCCATTGACATTGAGCAATGTAAGATGAGCACGACTCAGCTCTTAATGCCAGGACAGCAGGTTTTCTATATGGATGTTTGGCTGTAAGATTTAGGGGCCTGAGTCTGTAAAGCATCACCCAAATGAGCAGTCCTTACTCACGCATGTAGTCCTGTGGACTTCAGTGGGAATATGTTCATGCATAAGGATTACTTTTGTGAGTGAAGCCTGCAGGATCGAGCCCTGGGTCTATGCCAGAAAAGTCACACTACACTATTGCAGCTTTTGACATGAATGATGCTGATTAAAAGCTTGTTTCAGTGCCCATTGAACTCCATTAGGCGTCTTCATATTGACCTAAATGGGCCCAGATCAGGCCTGAAGGCAGTGATGAGCTGCCAAAATGTTAATAACCGGTTCCCTACCGACGACCTGGTAGGGAACTGGGTATTAAGCGCCGCCCGGTGAGTATAAGCCCGAGACCCCCCCACCCTAACTGCGCCCCACCGCCCCACCCCCTACCCAACTCGCCCCGCTCCCTGTCCCCGGACTGCCCCTACCCCATCCACCACCACCCCGACAGACCCACAGAACTCCCATGCCTACCCAACCCCCCGCCATTCTCTGTCCCCTGACCGCCCCCCCCCCCGAACCTCCGCCCCCTCCAACCACTCCCTGCCCCTTATCCAACCCCTCGCCCTGGCCCAGCCCCTTTACCATACTGCTCAGGGCAGTGGTTATGGATGCCGCGCGGCCCGCTGGAGCTCGTAGCCCCACCCCCTTACCATGCTGCTCAAAGCGGCAGGAGC